ACACAATTTTCAAACTGTAGGAAACTATTTCTAATCAGATTCTTATCAGTTATCATGTTTCTTATCAAACAATATAAGTGAATGTTCTCATAAATCAATCATAGAAAATAGGCACTTGTTTTCATACAAAACATACATACAACTCATATAAGACAATACTTATGCAATTAATTTCCATTAATTCTATTTATGCACATAGTGATCATCTCGACCGGGGAACAAATCCGATCTCTAACTTTATTTTAATATTCTTTTAAATTTACATCATTGGAAAGATGATTTCAACCGGGGAACAAATCCGGTAACATAATTTATATCTTAAAATTCCCTATATGAATTTATTAAGAGATATTACTTAGGAAAACAATAAACTAGTCCGGCCTGGGAGTCGAACCCAAGACCTTCATATCATTAATTCGACATTTCTTTAAGATTTAACTAAGCATTTTCTTATTAGAATATTGCTACTGGACGATTTGCTTTTCAGAAGCTATTCGTCATCGGTTAACTTAATAAATTGAAATATTCTTATAGGCCCGTCGCCAACAATCTCCCCCCCCGTGCGTCAGCACCATTATTTGGGAGGCGTCGCGGGTACCAACACTATTATTCTGGATGTAGGTCTCCTCAAGATACCTATGTTAGTAATGACGTCAACCATTCTGGTGTGACCGTCTGGTCCCGGTAGCGTTCTACTAATTTTGCCTTTCGGCCACGTGTTTCGTGGCAATGAATGATCTATTATCAAAACAATATCGCCTTCTTTAGGTTCCATAAACTTTCCATTATTACCTGTTCGAGGTATTAAAGTAGGCATGTATTCTTTTAGCCATCTTGTCCAAAAATGGTCGGTTAACCTCTGTGCAGATTTCGAATTGAGTTGACCCGTCAGATGTTGCTCTAAAAATAATCCAGGTGGTCGATCACAACATGAGCGTCCCAGAAGAAAATGATTGGGTGTCAAACCCTCTTCAGGACTATCCATACTGAATGTTACCAGAGGCCTGGAATTTACCGTATGCTCTGCTTCTAAAAGCAACGTATATAGAACCTCCTCTCGTGGGCTCCTTTCTTTGAGCGTAGCGGTCAACGCAATTTTAATTGATCTTACTAACCTTTCCCAGGCGCCACCCATGTGCGGTGCTCCCGGAGGTATAAATTTCCATTTAATATATTTCTTAAATGACTCATTTTTCATGCCCTCGTAGCATTCTTCGCATGCTTTCAATAATTTTTTATTCGCAGCTTTGAAATTCGTCCCGTTATCGCTGTATATAACGGCTGGTTTTCCTCTTCTGGCGATAAATCGCCTCAATGCCATTATCATTGACGCTGGTGTCAGTGAGGCTGCTAATTCCAGATGTACTGCTCTGGTGGTCAGACACGTGAATAAAACACCCCAACGTTTTTCGTGTCGCCTTCCTATAGTCACACTCATAGGTCCGAAATAATCCACAGCTGAGCATGTAAAAGGTGGTTCATGATGAGCTATTCTCTCCAGAGGAATATTTCCTTGTGGCACGTTCTGCGGTTTTGACCTGTATGTCCTGCACCATTGACAATGATGTGACACACTTCGTACTACGTTACGCAGGTTCAAGACATAAAATTTCTGGTTCACCTCATTCATCACCGTCTGGTGATTGGCATGTCCAAAATAATGATGAACTTCTCTAATCATCATTTCTACGATTTCGTGTTTACCGTCTAATACGACAGGTTTTCTACTTTCCTCAGTCAAATTAGACTTGAAAGGTAAACGTCCATTTAAACGGAGTAAGTTATCTTCTCCTATTTCCATAGATAATTTACTTAAGCGTGAACTTCTTTCAACGCTTTTGCCTGCTTTCAAGCATTTTATTTCCGAATAAAAACACTCGTCTTGAACGAACTTCCAAATTAATAATTCCGCCTTTTTTAAGAGCGCTATGTCCAACGCGCCATCGGGTCCTTTAACCGACTTTGCTAAAACTTTGTTGGAACACATAACCGACTTTTCGGCTGCGCTGTCGGCTCCTTTAACCGACTTTCTTAAACTCTTGAATTTTTCTACCGCTTGTAAGGTGCGTGTAGTTGCCCCAAGGAATTTCTTAAAGCTGCTAAATCGTCCGTAGTCGGGTAGACTTAACGGTTCTTGCTTTCTCAGCGCATTTACGCCTTTTGGCGACTTTTCTTCACCTGTTTCTAAGCTATTTATGGTGTCCACTTGTTTGTCTTCCTCCTTCTTGGTGGAAATGTGGTTAACAATCTTGATTGGTTTGATGCCACCCGATATGTGACCATGTAAAACCCAAGTTTAGTGAGCGATGCTACAGGTAGGTTCTTACCTCCTGAAATTAATTCACGAGTAACAATGAGATGCCAATTGTCCTGGCCAATTAATATGGTAGGTCTGGACCTCTCATACATCAACTCATCCTTAATCGGTATCAAATGAGAACACCGTTGCAATAATTCTAGGCTTACTGACTGCGGAGAAAGGTTAAGTGACTTAATTGTTTGTACACTTATCTCTTCTAAGTCGTTAGAGTAAATGCCTTTTACCTTAACGTTTAAGCGATACGAACTGTCGTCGTTAATTCGCTTACCTCCCACGGCTTCGATACGTAATTTTTCTTTACGTCCGCGAGGCGCTAACTTCTGAGCCATCCACTCCTCTATGAGTGTCATGGTTGATCCCTCATCCAGAAGAGCTGTTGTCTTGACCTTTCCTCTAGGTCCATACAACTCGACCGGTATAATCTTTAAGTATGCACATGCCAGTGCATTTACTGTACTAACAGTTGTAATCTGAGCGTCTTTACCCCCCTCGTCCCCTTGCGGCGAGGTATTTTCAATGGGGTATCGGTGTAGCATTCGATGATGTGACATTCTACATCCCTCTACACCACATTTTTTCGCTTTGCACTCTGACTTCATATGGTTAGGTGACAAACATTGGAAACATACTTTCGCTTTTTTGACTGCGTCCCATTTCTCACGAATATTCATGTCCTTAAACTTGTAACAACTCACTATAGAGTGCTCCTTGTTGCATATAACACACTTATGTGTTACCCGACTTACAGGCTTGTCCTGGGTTGTCATAACCACTTGTCGGTTGTGCCCTTTATTATTTCGGCGTTCTAGACGCTCGCTCGTATTACTTCGGCGCACATAGCGCTCGCTCTTGGCACGACTGCGTTCATACTCCTTTGCAGTGTGCACAGTTTGCTTCCTGAATTCAGGACGCTTCCGTTTTTCAGGCACATTTTCATTGCTTAAGGACGTTCCAAATTGTTCACTCAATAAATTTAAAAACTTGGCCATCTTCTGTAACTCTGGCTCCAAAGAATACTGAGCTCGATATTCAAACCATTTAAATTTAATCATAGTTCCGAGTTTCTCCACTATGCGGCTTACTAACTCCGGTGAGTATAAATACTGTAATTGATTCAACGCTTGTGTTGTGGCAACCACGTTCGTAATACGACTTGCAAAAGATCCTATGTTCCGGCAATCTTCTGCCAATCTTGGCATACGCTTTACATTCTCGATTTCGGCTAGAATGAGCTTCTCAACCCTACCGAATCTTCTTTCGAGAGCGTTCATTATTTCTTCAGGTTCACACAAAGTAAATAACAGCGACTTAACCGCCTCCTTAGCGGTGCCCTTTAATGCCCTCCTAAGGCGTGCGACATTCTGCACCCCTGAAAATTGACTTCTCGTGTCTTCAAACACCGTTTTGAAAATTATCCATTCACCCGGGTCTCCATCGAACACTGGTAATTCCTGGAGGAAATGAAGCTGGGAAGACTTATCTTTACCCGCTATCTTTATTGCACTCACAATCGCTTCGGTCAATTCTGACACCTCACTCGCGTGTGTTTTCTGTGCATTTCCTTGGTTGCGCTCGATCTCCGCCCCTTTGCGGCGTGATCCTTTACACGCTTCCTTATCAGTAATATCGGGTTGCGTTACACTAATCGGCGCGCTCATTTTGGTCTGTTGAATCCAACTCCTTACGAAAGGTTCCACCTGAGTATTCCGCTCTTCTTCATCCTCACTCGAGTCGATCTCCTCTTCTCGGTTGAGTCGTGCCAACTCCAATTGAGACTTGGCTAAGGCAGCAGCTGCCTGTGCTCGTTCGAGCTCTGAGCGTTCGAATTTAATCCGCGCCTCTAATTCGGCTCTCAGCCTCGCCGATCGCGATGACCTACTACCTCTCTGTGACCCTTTGTCAATTAGAATTGTAACTTTTTTATTTTTTTTTTAACATTTGTATGCCGTAGAGGCTAAACATGACTGTCGAGATATTTTCTTTTAAAATCTTGCATGCATATGTATGTATACTCATGTTTGAACAAATAAAATGATCTTTATCTTTATCTAAGAGCCGTGGTAGCTCAGATAGTTAGCGCTCGCTGTTGGTTGGCTCAGTAACGCGAGCAACTCGGGTTCGATCCCCGCCGGCACCAATGAAATTGTTAATTGCAATTTTAAGTGCTGATTACCACATGCTCGGCAGTGAAAGATAACATCGTGAGGAAACCTGCATGTGTGAGAAAAAAGAAAAAAATATTTTTCGTAGACATGTGAAGTTCGCCAACACGCGTTGGGGCAGCTCGGTGTACACTTCCTTGCCCTAAAAACCCTCTCAGATATCAAAGGAGGCCTGTGCCAAGCAGTGGGACGTATATATATATACTCATGCGATATTTAATCAAGAAATATCGCATGAAAGTCCTCACAATGTTCAGATACTATCTCAAGAGACGTTGCAACTTAGAAAAATAACACCTTGCAAGAAGCATTTAAAAAAGCGACAACGGAACAAAAATGAAGAAAAGATTTACTTAATAGTATATGTTGAATTTTAAAGTTAAAGCGACAGCCTACACATATATATATATATATATATATATATATATATATATATATATATATATATTGTATGTATGTATGTATAAATTTAAAGTTACAAATAAAATTCAACATACACTCTTAATTAAATCTTTTCTTCATTCTTGTTCCGTTGTCGCTTTTTCAAATGCTTCTTGCAAGGTGTTATTTTTTCTAAGTTGTAACGTCTCCTGAGATAGTATCCGAACATTGTGAGGACTCTCATGCGATATTTCTTGATTAAAGTTTTGTGGAAGCGTTGGTGTAATGTAGGAGCTGCGTGATGATGAAGGGCGGTTAATTAACATTTGCGAAGGAGAAGTATAACAGTATAGAGTAGGCTGTTGATCAACAGGTAACGTCTGATGTGATCTCTCTTGATTGAAATTTTGTGGTGGCGTTGGTATAGTGTAGGAGCTGCGTGATGATGAAGGGCGATTGATTATTATATGCGGAGAAGTATCAGAGTAGAAAGAAGACTGTTGAAAAATGGGTGAGTCCGGAGAAATAATGTTTCGTGGGAGCGATTCATGCGAGTACGAAGAGCTGTGTGCTGATGAACTGCGATTGTAAATAGAAGGCGAAATAATGGGATGAAAGTCTCGGCCGCGGCAGTGACGACGTTTATTTAATATTAATCCATGTATTTCGTACATTATCTCTTCTCTTTCGTCTTTAGGGAAATCCTTGAGCTGTTTTGCCAGAAGTTTACAAAACAAATCAGCGTCATCGTTTTCTTTATCTGCTGTATTTTTCTTGGTTTGCAACACACTATTTAATGTATTGAATGCAGCGCTCATCTGCTTGCTGGCTTCCTGTAATTCCGGCGGGTTTTTCGCTCGACGTTTCTGTACCACTTTAGATTTAGTAGCAGGGTTACTGTTCTCTAAAGTAGCTTGTGAGGCACTGTTTCCTGCTTCGCTATTTTGCACTTCAGTAGTACTGCTACTTTCCCCACAATCAAATTCATCAATGCTTATATATTCCTCCATGTCTTGGATCTGAAACAAAATAATGTTTATTTATATTTTATTTATTTTTTTAAGCTATTGACTAGACGTATGCGTGTACACTAGCTGCTAACTGAATGATAAAAATTCCTGAATAACCTACATGTATTGTAAGATATTAAAAATATTTTAAACAATATTAACTTCTCATTTATTCAATAAGAGAAAAAAAAATGTTTTCTTATCGGTCACCACTCTCAAAAAGTGTAACTTGATTTAATATCAAAGACTTAACTGCATAAATAAAATAAATAAATAATTATAATTGCATAAGTTGATAAAAAATGCTATGCAATAGCTTTACCGCGGCAGTCACCGAGTGCCACACGTATTTTTTTATTTTTATAGGATAGGGTGACAAACAAGCACACAGCCCACCAGATGGTAAGTGGTTGCTGTGGCCCATAGACATCTACATCTATTCTCGATTACGAATCAAAATGCAGATGCGTTGTCACCCGTGAGGACTAAGATGGAATGCCTCGTTTCCAGTAAAAAGAGTTTCCGGTGCTCTACACTCACAATACGTAAGCTAGAAACACAGCAGCATTAAGCTACTATTTTACACCGGTTTTCTGTGAGAGCGTGGTCCTTTCCCGGTCGAGCCGACCCATTCGTGCTACAACTATACCCTTAATATAACTGCAGCGTGGCTCTACCACGTAAAAATATATTTTTAAATATACATATATATATATATATATAAATACATATATATATATATATATATATATATATATATATATATATATATATATATATATATATATATATATATATATATGACCGTTTTTTTTCTTCTCATAGTTACGAGCTTGAGGTTCGTGACAATAAAAATTGCCGATAAAATTACCTAAATTAACACTTTAATTTACTTTACACAATTAAAGTTAAAACACTAATAATTTAAACACACTAATTCACTTAATTCCACTCCGAAGCTTCGCTTGTTTCGCCCAAATCAACACTAACTCCATCGCATCTTGCAGCGCCTATATATTTAAATTAGCAAAGAAATATCCAGAACGTTCAAGTAAACACGCGGAAGGCACCGAGCGTTCGAGTTTCGACTAGGCGCTGTCAGTTGAGTGACCCGTGATGTCACTCTCTCAACGCTCCCCTCGCTCTCGTTCCTGACACTAGATGGCGCTAGTTGACTTATTCATGCAACACTGCCCCCTCCTAAGACATGCTCGTCCCGAGCATTATCGGTCCCATAATAACGCGCCAAGCGATCCACATGGACGATCTTAGGAGTCCCTCTTGCGCCTTTCTGTATCCGGTAGGTCACATCGTTGATCCTGGTTACAATCCGGTACGGGCCGTCCCATTTAGCTTGAAGCTTAGGAGATTTCCCTTTGCTGCGGACTGGATTGTGCAACCACACAAGTGAACCTTCGTCGAACCCTTTGTTGTTCATTTTGCGGTCATACCGGGTTTTCATCTTTTCAGACATTTGCTGGCCCGATTGTCTGACGTGCTCATAAACGTCATTCATTTTTTTCCGCAAGTCATTTGCATAATCGGTTATACTGCGTGGAGCATCGGGTGGTATCCCGGTGATCAGGTCTGCAGGCAGCCGTAATTCTCTTCCAAAGTTTGCGAAAGCTGGTGTCACTGCTGTACTTTCGTGAACAGAACTTCGATATGACAACAAAAACGGTTGTATGTGCTTGTCCCAATCTCGTTGCCGATTGTCTACAACTTTTGCTAGGTACCTCTCCAATGTCTGATTAAATCGTTCCACCATTCCATCAGATTGCGGGTGATAAGAAGTCGTTCTTGTTTTATGAGTACCCATAACTCGGCAAGTTTCCTGGAATATTTGAGACTCAAAATTCCTTCCTTGATCGCTGTGAATCTCTAAAGGTACTCCAAAACGACAGAAGACTTCATGAACTAGTTTATCTGCAACTGTTGAAGCTTCTTGATTTGGAATGGCGAAGACTTCTGGCCACTTAGTGAAGTAATCCATCACAACCATGAAATACTTGTTACCGCTTTCACTCTCCGGAAACGGCCCCGCCACGTCAATGGCTATTCTCTCCCATGGTGCACCAACATTGTACAACTTCAATGCACCTCTACTACGAGTCTGAGGTCCCTTTACAGCCGCACAACTTGTACATTTGCGACACCAGTCCTCGACATCGTTTCGACAGTGGACCCAGTAAAACCGTTCTCGGATCTTCAGTAGAGTTCGTTTAACTCCCAGATGGCCTCCTGAACAATCATTATGGTACAGCTGTAGAACATCCGGTACTTTAACTTTAGGGACAACCATTTGCAAATGACAGCTGTCTCCCCGAACGTTTTCCCATTTACGACACAGAACTCCATCCTGAAGCAGCAAGCTGTCCCACTGGGCCCAATAGCTTTTAGTGGTCGAACTCATCGCTGAGACGTCACTCCACTTGGGCTTGGGAGCACTGGCCTTTATCCATTCCAGAATCGGCTTGATGTCCGGATCTTCTTGCTGTGCATGTTGTAAGCTGTCCTTCCATTCGTTGCTGAGGTGGTCCGTCCTGAGCATCCTCACGGATACCTCTTCCTTACTCTCTTGCCTAGTACAATGGTTGCAATCTTCAGGACAAGGTCTTCTCGACAATGCATCTGCGTTGCCGTGAGATTTTCCGCTGCGATGTTCGATCTCAAAGTCGTATTCCTGCAGTAGTTCAATCCACCTCGCAACTTGTCCTTCTGGATTTTTAAACTGCAATAGCCATTTTAGTGCAGCATGGTCAGTTCGTAAGTGAAACTTTCGTCCCAGAAGATATTTGCTAAAATGCTGCAACGACTTTACCACAGCGAGCAATTCGCGTCTTGTGACACAATAGTTCCTTTCCGGTTTTGACAACGACTTGCTGAAGTACGCTATTACGACCTCTTGGTCACCATTCCGTTGAGACAACACACCGCCGAGTCCTATATCACTTGCGTCTGTGTCAACTATAAATTCTTTGCTTGCATCAGGGTATCCCAAAATAGGTGTTTTGCACAGACGGTCCTTGAGCTCCTGGAATGCGATATTGCAACTTTCATCCCAGCAGAAATGTCGCTTCTCCTCGGTTAGCTTGTGCAGAGGTTTGGCTATATCTGCAAAGTTCTTCACGAATCGCCGGTAATAGGAGCACAAACCCAAAAATGCTCTAACCTGCGTCTTGTCTTTTGGAACCGGCCAATCCTTGACAGCGGCGATTTTCTCTGGATCTGTGCGGATACCTTCTTCCGATACTACGTACCCCAAAAAGTTAACTTGCCGTTGAAATAGTGAACATTTCTTCGGGCTCAACTTGAGGTTGGCACTCTGAATCTTCATGAGCACGCGTTCCAGGTTTTGAAGGTGTTCCTCAAACGTACGGCCCACGATGATGATGTCATCCAAGTAGACCAGACAGGCATCGCCAATTAGCCCGGTAAGTACAAGTTCCATCAGCCTTTCAAACGTTGCTGGAGCATTGCACAACCCAATCGGCATTACTTTGAATTGCCACAGACCCTTTCCCGTCGAGAACGCAGTTTTCTCCTTGTCCTTAGGGTCAATTTCAACTTGCCAGTAGCCACTTTTTAGATCTAGCGTGCTAAACCATTTTACTCCTGTAAGCATGTCCAGCGTGTCATCAATTCTTGGCAAGGGATAGCTGTCCTTCTTTGTAACGTCGTTCAGACGGCGGTAATCAACACAGAACCGCATGCTGCCATCCTTCTTTTTCACTAGCACCACTGGTGAACACCATGGACTAGAGGAAGGTTCAATAACACCATCCTTCACCATTCCTTCAATCATGGTTTCCACTTCCTTTTCACGTGCTACCGGCAATCTTCTTGGCCGCTGACGGATAGGCAATTCCTCTCCTGTGTTTATTTTGTGTTGAACTAGGCCAGTCTTTCCTATGTCAGCATCATTTGATGAGAATACATCGGCGTACTTGAGTAACAACTTCTTCGCCTTGACCAATTCGTTCGGGGACAGAACACTGCGACAGTCTTCCAAAAGTGTGGTCACTCTCGTTTCTGAATCCTTGCTGGAGGTCCCACTCGATATATATTGGCACTGACGTAACCAATCCACTTCCTCACAAGTACCAACCAGTGTGCCTTTTTCTATAATCTGTTCCCGGTCGCAAAGGTTCAGCACACGTACTCCTGAGATGTCAGTGGTCCTGACCAAGGTTCGAGCTACTTTCCATGGAAGGTCATTGTTTACCCTTTCTACAAGTACACAACGGTGAGCTTGCCCAGCGTTTCGAGGAAGACTAACCGGAACAATCGTTTCCGATCTCGGCGGAAGAACAATCTTCTTGATGCTGTACACGTTCCCTGGTAACGCACCTTCCATAAAAAGTTCCTCTTGTCCACATTTCAAAACACCTTGCTTAACGTCGATCTCGCAACAATTATTCCTCATAAAGTCTAAGCCTAGGATGCAGTCGTCCATTATATCAGCCACGATGACATTATGCAGGTAGATCACGTTGCCTAGCTTCAACTCCATCTCCTTCTCTCCACGGACGGGTATACGCTGACCGGTGGCTGTTACCAAATTAATGCGTTCTCGGTTGTATGCGGAGTCCCCAAGGAACTGACTTATAAGTTGGGAACTAACAACCGTACGAGAGGCTCCAGTGTCTATGGTCAGTTTACAGGGCATTCGGTTGACCTCGCCCTTGATGATTAGACTGTTCCCATCATGGCTTTGTGAGATCGAGATCCTTGGGGCTCTTTTAACATCAGCCAGCACCCGCCCCGCAGTTCTGGCTTTTACTCGTTTCCCTGCTGCTGCTGGGCGGTGCTGTTGGCCGCACTACCCACCTGGGATCGTTCACCTTCCCTTTCTAGGGTTCGCTTAGGGCAGCTGGATCGAAGATGGCCCTTTTCCCCACAGCCATAGCACCTTGGGCTGTATCCTTTGTTGCGGTCGCGAACTGTAGCGGCTGCAACCTCCCTGACGCGATGGGAACGATGATCCTGCCGCACGGCTT